CACAAGGTCTTCATTCTCACAGTCCCTGCGCCTGCCTTCCAAGACTTGGGTGGTGTAGTCAGAGCCTTTGCCAGTGAAGACTGAGGCAAAGAAGTCATTCAGAACCTCAGCCTTCTCCAAAACTAGGGTAGCCAGTTCTCCCAAGAGCTTCCTGAGGGGGCCTACGTTGTCCCTAGTCTGTTTTTTTATTTGCTATGTACTTGTAGAATCCCTTCCTGTTATCCTTAACATCCCTAGCCATGTTTAATTCTAACTAGGCCTTGGCTTTCCTAACCTGGTCCCTAGCTTCCCGGACAGCATCCCTGTACTCTTCCCAGGCCACCTGTCCTTGCTTCCACATTTTATAAGCCTCTTTTTTCATTTGAATTTTCCTCAGGAGCTCCTTATCCATCCAAGGAGGTCTCTGGCTCTCCTGCTGCACTTCCTTCTCGTTGGGATGCAACACTCCTGAGCTTGCAGCAGGTGATCCTTGAATATCAACCAACAGTCTTGGGCCCCCCTGCCCTCTAGGGCTATATCCCATGGAACCTTACTAAGCAGGCTCCTGCTCGTTTGAAGTCCAGGGCAGTGAGCTTGCTGCACCTCTTCTCACTGTCCTGAGGATCTCAAATTCAAGCATCTCATGATCGCTGCATCCAAGGCTGCCCTGGAGCTTCACATTTCCAACGAGCCCTTCCCTGTTGGTGAGCATGAGGTCAAACATGGCACCTCTCCTTGTCGGCTCCTCTATTACTTGCAGAAGGAAGTTGTCTTCCACACAATCGAGGAACCTCCTGGATTGCTTGTGCCGGGCTGTACCGTCCTTCCAACAGATGTCAGGGTGGTTGAAGTCCCCCATGAAAACAAGGGCCTGTGAGCATGAGGCTTTTCCTATCTGTCTATGGAGTGCTTCATCTGCAGGTTCTCCTTGATCAAGCGGCCTGTAACAGATCCCCACAGTAATGTCTCCCATAGCTATTTTCCCTTTAACCCTGACCCACAAACTGTCTGTGGATTGCTCACCTGTCCCCAGACAGAGTTCCATACTGTCCAGCCTATCCCTAACACAAAGAGCAACTCCCCCTCCCCGCCTGCCGGGCCGGTCTTTTCTAAAGAGCCTGTAACCTTCCATTCCAACACTCCAGTCATAGGAGCCATCCCACCATGTCTCTGTGATGCCTATTATATCATACCCCCGTAGACGTGCACACATCTCTAATTCCTCTTGTTTGTTCCCCATGCTACGGGCATTTGTATAGAGGCATCTGAGCCGAGCTCCAGCTGAAGCCGGCTCATTGGCTGGAGCGGCTGGGATATCTCTACATTGCTCCGAGCATTTATTATAGGTTCTGGCAACTGACTGGGTGTGTTGGGATGGAATGATGCCCCCCTCCCCCAACACAGCTAGTTTAAAGCCTCCTTGACCAGTCTGGCAAGCCTCCTACCAAAACTGCTCTTTCCCTTCTTTATCAGACCAGCTCCACCAGCCCCCACTAGACCTGGCCTACAAACTTGGGTCCCGTGTTCAAGACATGCAAGCCCCTTGCTATGACACCACCCTTTTAACCAGTTATTAACCTGTCCAATCCTTCTAGCTTTTTTTAGGTTCTCCCCCGTATCCTGGAGAATTGACAAAAAGACTGTCTGAGCTCCAGGGCCCCTAGCCATCTCTCCCAGGGCTCTGTAGTCTTTCTTTATGTTCCCCAGTCTACTACTATCTATATCCCTAGCACCCACATGTATCACTAGAAGACCCACATGTGTCTTCATTAGTTTAATTTTCTACATTATCTATATATGAAATACATTATAGCAGTGAGCAAGTCTGACATTATTTTTGGTGTGCTCGTTAAATGTGGTATGGGACAAGTGAACTGATTGATGATGAGGTTAGTACCTCTCCTATAAAGTGAAATAGGATGAGGTTAGCACCTCTCCTATAAAGTGAAATACCTTTGCTTTGGAAGCACTTTTTGAACAGTAGTTTAGCAGGAATTGACTAAAGCTCTTTGCAGCAGAAGGCAAGGAGTTTTGCAAGTTTTTAGTACTGAGTGCACTGAGAGGTAGAGAGGGAAGAAAGTAGTTTTTCTGGCTTTAGCGCTTACAGGATACTGCCATATCTCCAGCTTCTCTTGCTGAAAAGCCCAGCCTAATTTCTTGGAACTGTCTGATACAATGGCCCCAGCATTGCCAGTGGCATACTTCTATCAGACACGATTTCTTCTTAGAAAACCTTTGTGATGGCCTCAACACAATTTCCAATCCAATGTCCTGTTTCACTGAATTGACTGTTACAGCCCATGTATCATATTTTAATATCTTCTAGACTCTTGTCTACAAGACAACTTGCATTCAAGACTGCATCTGTCATTGCATAATGATCAAGTAAGCAAAGGTCTTAAAATGTGTTGTCATCTCAAGATGTTGAGATAGAAGAACCCAGTAATCCATATTCCAAAAGAAATGGACAGCCAGCCAGCCCAAGGTCATACAGTGAAGCACAGTGCAAATGACAGATAATGCATCCTCTCTGAAATCCCAGAAATCAGTTTACTTTCTTTATAAATGGTGATTAAACCATCCTTTAATATTATGAAAGCACATACAGTGTTGTTCTGGCAAGAATTTTCTTGATAGAGCAATAAACAAATGGTCCCCTTCTTTGCAAATATCCTCAGGCAATGCCTTAGCTAATATAAGGTCTAATAATCATTAGAAACACACCACCAATTAATCCAAATGTCCTGGCTGCAACCCATAGCAATGTAGCTCCACCTGGTTGTCTGAACTTCTTTTGTAACTGCAGCTGGTCTGATGCTCTGGTTTGAATTGAGACAGTGTGTCCACTAAAGGACCTGATACTGTTGCTTTTTTCCCTTCCTGCTTTAGTTGTATTAGCAACTACTGTACACGTGCTGCCCTCTGAGCAGGCTGCTTCAGCACCATGAGCACGTATGTTTCAGTTGCTTTTAACCACATTCAGTTGGGTGCTGTTGCACCTTCCTGAACGAGGATCTGACTTTTGAAAGGAGTATCTAGACTTCTCACAGGCTTTTTCAAATCCTTCCTGGGTCAGATTTATGATTTTATTAAAACCCTCGCCTCCCTCAGCTGAACAATACCACAACTTTCCCTCTTTCTTTCCTCAGCTATTCCCTAACAAGGTAACGGAATGGAGAACAAACAGCAAAGCAATGGTGTCATGAAAGAAAATAACGTGGTGAAGAAAAAACTGGTGAGTGAATTCCCCAAACCTTCTGTCAACACATTTCTTTGCTATCTGGGGAGTGGAGGCAGAAAGTAACTATTTGGAACCTATATAAATACTTGCGGGCACAGGCCAGTGTCCTAAACACAGGAATGCTTCTGTTCCCTTTCTGCCTTTGGTACCTGGACCACTGATGGGCTTACTGTGAGACTGTACCACAGGACTCTCAGTTCTTCCTGTGTTATTCTTTATACACGTCCAGTTTTGAACTAGCCAGGTTTAGGGGCTAGTTCAAAAGGGTTTAGGTAAAATATTCTGGGATTCCTTGACTTTAGGATAGGTTAAAAACTCTGGTTTTGGGGAGGGACTCTGTCACTGAAGACAGTGGTAATATTTTGGAAGAGAGTTTCTGTGCCTTCAGAAGGAGATCTTGGGAGGATGGATGTATTCTGTGAAAAAAAAAAAAAGCTTGGATTTAGCCTCTGACATTTTTCTTATACAAGAACCCGTAAAGCTGTGTATTCTTCCCATCTTTCCCCTTCTGCTCTGACATGTTAGAGAAGAGCAAAATATTGCTTCTTTCCATGGGAACATGGAGATTTGAGCAAGGGGAAGCTGACAGGATGCAAATTTGAGTGGTACAAAGAGTAGCACATGTTTAGTTTCTGTAACTTACTAACAGCAATTGTAAAAGGGCAAAACATGTGAGTGCATTAAAGTGAGAAATTGTGTACATATTAATCACACCAGCCATATTATTTGTATTTGAGTATGAACTAAATTGCTTGCTCTGAGCTATATGAAATGAAACTTAAATAAAACAGAAGTATCTGATTCATCTCAAAACACTCTATGGATTTTAAAGGCTTGATTATCCTAACTTGACTCTTTTACTGCTTATGACCATTCAAAGACATTACAAATGATGTGTGGATCATCTGTGCATGCTGATGTTTCTTAATATATATGACAATTTTACATGTTAATGAATAGCATCTGGATTTCTATTTAAACACCACCAAAGATCAGTTTGGTCTTTGCCAACGACTCTTCAAAATTGCTGCATCATAAACTGCTTTCAAGCCTTCAGTGCTTTATGGCATTATATTCTCTGTGTCTCTGAGAGCTCTGAGCTATTTGTGAGAGGTATGTAGCATGTCAGAAATGGAAACAGCACAGATTTACACCAATATTAACAGCAGCCATCTGGGAATAGTTCCCAGATGCACTTAATACTCACCCCTTGCCAACTAGGAGGTGTAGTTTAAATCTTAGCAGGTCAAAATCCCCATGTTTGCAAACAGGCACCTTCAAAACCAGTAGCTGAGAGCTTTTACCTTCCCCAGGTAGCATGCCTAATCTCCACCTGTTACACAGCAGTAGTGCAACGCCCCAGATCCAAACCTCCAAACCTCCTAAGGCTGTGGAAACATCCCTACGGCTTGTGGGTAACAATTAGCTGCAAGTCTTGTGATATCTTCACTTTGAAGGCCCAGCAACACGAGAAAACTCTTCCCCTCCCGACTCCAGCGTCTGCTTACAGCAGGGCAGCCCCGGTTTCCAGACGGCACGGCTCCCCGTCCCCGCAAGCCGTGATCCCCAGCTCCTGGGCCCCTCGGGGGGGGAGGCTGTGAGGGACCACCTAGCCCTGCCATTTCCTTGCCGAACCTGCGCTGCTGTGTAAACCCCTACTGAGGGAAGGGGCCTGCCGGGAAACCGCGCGCACGGCACTGGGCACGCACATTTGCTTAAGTTATGTGCGAGCCCGCAGATAAATGAGCCCGCGCTCCTCCATCCCCTCTCCCTGCCCGCAGCCCCGGCTATGTCCCGCTCCCCTCCCGTAGCCATGTACTCCCGCGGCCGGCGCTGCACACCCGGGCCGTGCCCCCCGGCCGCGGCGCCGCCGGAGCGCAACGCGCGCCCCTCCCGCGGCCGCGCCCCCGCTGCGCCCCGCGGAGATGCGCGGCCGCTGCGCACGTGCGGCGGCGGCATGGAGCGCGCGGCGGGGCCCGAGGCGGACACGCTGGTGGCGCGGGAAGAGGGGGGTGGCCGCCGCCGCCGCGCAAGCAGGAGCGTAAGTAGCGCTGGGCTGCGCGGAGTCTCCCCTTGTTTCGGGAAGGAGCGCGGCTGCATAAGCGGAGGGCCACCGGAGGAGCGGGCAGCGGGGCGGGAGCGATCCCGGCGGCGAGGGCGGGGAGCTCGGCCTTGCGTTGCCCTCGCACTGGGGACGATCAACCGGGCTGGGGACGGTTTCGGTCCTTTCCCAGCGTTGGTGGGGAGGAAGAGCGAGCCAGGCTGGTGCACGGTGGCCGTGGGAGCGGGAGTCACCCGCCGCTGCTCTCCGGAGAGCGGGGCAGAGCTCAGGTTGCACGGCGGCGCCGCCGAGCCCTTCTCCGCTCGGAAAGTTGTTGGTGCCGGTGCAGGGGAGGCCGGCGGCGGGCAGAGCTAAAAATACCGCGGCGGACGAGCAGGGACCCAGAGGACGGGCGGAGGGCAGCGCCGGGGCTGGCGTGCCCGGACGGGGCGGGCGGCTGGAGGAGGGAGCGGAGAGGGCGCAAGGGCTTCACCGCCCGTAGCGGCAGATCCTCTGGGCAAGGGCAGACCCTTGGGGAGAACAGCGGAGTTTTCCTCCTTTGGCACCACCGTGTCCCTGGGCACACCTGCCAGCAGCGCCCAGCGGCCGCTTTCCGGGCTAGAAGTTGCCTGTGTGCTGAGTGCTTCCGTAAAACTAAGGGATCCGGGTAAGGTGCTTCAATATCCAGCTTCCCAATATCAATATAAAGTCTTAGCAATACCTGTTTAAGAATGTTAAAACTTCCTTATGTACCCGTGCAATGTTTACTGCTGACAGTTGTGTTTAATCTGAGCTAGGGGTTATAACTGGCTAGCTAAAGTACAGTATTCTAAATGGTGTTTTGAAAACTGAAATGCAACCTGTCACGCATCTAAAAAGAAGAAAAAAGGGCAATTAGTAGCCTACACGAATGTTGCACTGCATGCTGAACAAGGACGGGAGCTGCGGAAAACATCTTCCAAAGCACTGTGCCCTGGGATCTGTGGTAACACCAAAACTGTGGACTTTCACAATTAAGCAGTTCTCAGGTATCTGGAGGTCTCTGCTGTGAACTGACAAGCAGCTCCCCTGACTGAGCACTGGTCGCTGTGGTGGCGGTCACACCTACCTGCCCTTGCGCTGACGGCGGAGACGTGTGAGCACACGGGTGGCGGTGAAGTTAAGCAACACCTATGAGGGAGGAGTGGTTGCCGCCTTGTTTCCTGGTCCACTGTAAAGCACATAAACGCTTTTCACCACCACCACCCCTTTCCTTTTGTTAACGTTGCCACAGGGTTAATATTTTTCTTAAGCAACAGTTTGATTTGTTTTTGTCATTCTTGCTTCATTGTGCTTTCGTCTTTCATCTGCCACCGCTGGAATCTGAGCAAACATTTAAAATAGCGTATGAGGGAGCAGGTCATGGAGAAGTTGAATTTCGTGTTCCAAGGACTGTAAAACTCTGAATCGAGTAAGTCCGAGGGTTTCAGCAGCAGGCTCTATACTTGGGAAATTCTTGGTAGTGAAGTAGGTTCTAAACCCAGCTATTTGCAACACTAGGAGATAAAGGATACGGGGTTTCTAATTTGGCAGCACTTCAGTGATTTGTCCTGCATTATCTTTCACTTAGCCTCATGTGCGTATAATGTGCTGTGCTGAAAGGTTTAAGCATTCACTGGAGTTTTTAATAAACTACAGGCTATATGATCCGAACAATTTTGTTTGCAGGATTTTTCTGATGGGTCTAACTGTTGGAGTAGAGCCCTTTAGCAATACTGCATCAACCACATAGCACTTGTGAACTTGAGCTTATCATTTATGAACTGTCTGAGAGCAACCTAGTAGAACTCCAGGAATATTCTCCTCAGCGTCCTTGGTTCAGCATGGTAGCAATTTCTCCTAAGTGTAGGAATGCTTGCGCATAGTAGAGAAATAACGGATATCTAATATGAAGTGTTATCTCCAGAAGTAAATGAATCCTTATGTTAAAATTTCTGCTTTTCGCCGCTGAAATAACAGTGCAAAGCTCTGTGTGTGTGTGTCAGGTTCATTTTAAGAAGCTGGCTAATAACAATAAGTTGTATTTGGATTATGCAGTGAAGTCAGTGGGATTTCTTACACAAGGCTTTTCCCTGTGTACACTTCCTCCTAACCTGACTGGGAACGGGCTGGTTAACAAACTGTATAATCTCTTAATGGTGTGGAGATGTTCAAACCACTCAGCTGTCCCACAGGGCACATTTGGAGCCCCCAGGAGCAGCAGCTGCAGTGCACAGCAGACCCAGTATGCGCTGGGATGTACGCTGTGGTCCTTGCCCTGGCACCCGGGTGTCTCATCCCTTCTTCACAGATCTCTGGTGACAGTGTGGGACATGTTAACAACCACTGGGTGTTCACTTACCCAGCTGCCCCTGTGAGGCTGCTGGAGCTTGCTCCAGTTCATTGTCACTGCACATGTGCTGTGTGTTAGCTACACAAACCTACTTCATGCTCCAGATCTTCCAAAGTGGCAACACAGCTTTGTGCCGTTGACAGGTTGTATTGACTCATTAACCTGTTGTCTGCTGAAAGTGATATTTCTGAAGCTGAGTCTAGTAGGCCTGCTTAAGCAAGTCATTCTCCTTTTAAAAGGATTTGAGGCCTCTGTGGGTGATGAGGCTGGGCATAAAATGTCATTGAGCTGTGCCTGAAATTCTGAATTCTTAGCAGTTGGTTTGGTTTGTTTTTTAATTCAAATATGTTAAAAGCCATCTACTTCAGTGTATTCAGAAGTCAAGAAAGGTGATTTGTCTTCCCTAATCTACAATCAACCAGCCACTGGAACACAAACTTTAACATCTCTTGGGAATGGCAGTGATTACTTCTGCCAGGCTCCCTAATTCAGCAGGAGAAGTGGCAGAAAGTTAATACTGGAGAAGGTGGAAAGGACCCTTATATGCAAAATATTTCAAATCAAAGCATTGACCAAATCAATTCTACCTTTCATTCAGCAGCTGATGTGGAACAAGGAATTCTTGGCTAAAAACAGGATGAGAGGGATGGAGGGAGGAAACCTGAGAGGGTAGAGGTGTCTGGGGAAAAAGAGCAAATGCCATCTCCACTGGAGAACGTAGGTGTGTGGCAGCAAATTACAGTTGGAGACTTGCATTTGGGTTACAAAACCTAGTTTGTGGGCAAAGTTTGAATTTTTTGGTCACAATTTCACTGACCCCTATACTCATGGGAGAGGAAGGCATGCCATTTCACAGGTTTCCAGTCAGGTCTACCCACAGGTAGGTGGTCTACCTGTTGCGTCAAATATATGCTACTCCTTGTTTTGCTGTTTTAGTGATATGTTTCCAGCACTTTCCTTCACTGAGAATATTCTTCTCCAGCATTTTCCTTTTTGGTATGAGGGCTGACAGATGCTTGCAGCAAAACTCTGTGAAGCTGAAAGAAGTTCAAATGTTTGCTTACAACTCCTTAAATGTTAACTGAGATGCTGTCACTTAAAGTCCTTGGATTGCAGCAAGGGGAAGTATTTCAGGTTGTTATTTTGCAGAGACATCTTTCAGGAGGTATGCAAGGTAGCGTAAGGAGTGTCTAAAACCTGAGGTATGTTGATTTAAAGTGTTGATTTAAAGCCTACTAACAGTGGCTGCGTCTTTTCTCTGTTTTTCAGAATTGGTCTGGGAGTCTTATTGTAGCCTCCTTAACTGGTGCTTTTGGGTCATCTTTTCTTTACGGTTACAATCTCTCTGTGGTCAACGCTCCTGCAGCGGTAAGTGACTGTCAGAGTTGGGATTTAGTATCAGCAGAGGGCATCCGTGCCCAGCTGGTGTGTGCTCATCAGCATCCTGCTTCTACATCCCTCCTCATGCAGCAGAAGAGGTTAAATCTCGTACAGTAACTCTGCTTTGCTGAAAGCTTCTTTCTACTGCCCATGAGGTTTTCACATAAGAGTTGTCAGGAAACTAAATGCTGCTATTGAGGTGAGCGGGTACACATGCTTTGCTTCTCATTCTTCCCAAACCCAGACTAAACCCAAATCTTGCAAACTTTTGAGGAATAAGGTGTTTTTAATAGTATTTCTTTCTGACTAGTGAGTATTTAGTAGCTCTGTGCACATGTTCAGCAACTTCCGTTCACATCATTAAGCTCAGAAGGGTTGCACAGCATTTCATTTCTACAGTACTGATATAAATAATGCCTCTGGCTTCCTCTTAAATAATGGGCCTCTTTGCCTGCATTTTGTGGTGTTGTCTTGTTTGATTATGAATTCAAAACTGCTGTGTTGACAAGCCATTGGCTGCAACATATGGAATAGATTTGATGAAGAGAGTACTATGAAATCAGTGTACAATATCTGGAGGGTTTTCATTTCAATACCAGCTATCACAAATAAAGATGGGAACATTTTTTTTTTACAATGGCTGTCTAGAGATGCTCTTAATTCAGCCAAGCACATCAGTAAGCAGTTCAGTGGAGTTGCAAGCAACACCATTTTGAAAAAGTAGCCAGTAGCCAGGGGAGCTAACTGTAGAAATCCCATTCAAAATAGTTCCTATCCAAAGTTAAGCTCCTTCTTTTATGGAAATCTCTTCTTAAAATGTGGTTACATTTCCACCTGAACAGGTTGGTCATATTAAAAATGCATGCAATATTTATGCAAATAATGAAAGAAGACTTTTAGTTTGCTTCATATGGGTATTTTATTTGGTAAACATATGACCTTAAGGACTAGGAAGAATCTCACCCTGTAGGAAGTTTTAATTGTCCCCTTCATGACTTCTTGGAATTTTCTTGAAGTTCTTGGTACTTTTTGTACTGGTAACATGGGGTTGAACAGATGGAATATTTATTCTAGTGTGACATGTCTAGGCATCACTTTACCTTGCAGTCATCAGAGGATAAACACAGAATCATAGAATGGTTTGGTTTGGAAGGGCCCTTAAAGATCATCTAGTTCCAACCCAGTGCCATGGGCAGGGACACTTTCCACTAGACCAGGTTGCTCAAAGCCCCTTCAGCCTGGCCTTGAACACTGTCAGACATGCATGAGCATCCTTCTGTAGACTGTTGGGTATCTTCTGCCCCTGGTTACTTCAGTACAATTCCTTTTGATGTCTAAAGTCTTCCAACCTTACTGTAGGACTGTATGGTGCTTTAAGATGTATTGAAAAAATGCTTGACAATGACTGTTGACAAAAGCATGGGATGTTTCCAGGATCCTGCAGCTGAACACATTAGCACGATGAATAAGCTGGAGTGGGGGTTTCATTTAAGACTGAAGCATTGAAAAAATGTTAGTAAATTCTTGTGTACAGTATCTTTTGGTGCTGGAAGTTGTGCCACCTCATCAGACTGCAGGGAAACGCTGCAGCTCTCACCAGTGAGAGGTCTTCTCGTAAGGTGGACTCAGTCCAACTTCCTTTTTATTTTAAGGGGGGAATAAACTGCCCATACTCTGCTCAGAGCACACATTGCTTCCCACTTAGTCCCCTACTTTTCTGTGAGAAAGAGCAGTAGCCCACTGCAGGTGTGCTTCCCCCTGTGCACAGCACTTGCCCACACCAGAAACCCAGAATTAGAAGCCTCCATGGGCTTGTTCAAAGAGTTACCAGAGTTTATTTAAAAACATATGGAAGCATTTGGCAGTAGGAAGACAAGTGCTTTAATTGAATACAAGCTGAAGCTGTCTTTTTCTGAGCTGAATTTCTAAAACTCATTTCATGGACTGATTGTGGGCAAGGTCTGAAGAACAAAGATGTGCTCTGTGCTCTGTACAGGAAGTGAAATCTCTGCTACTTACTGCCACGCAGTGCTTGCCCCCTTCCTGTGGGCAGCTGCAGCTCTGAATTCCTTTGAGAGCTGATAAAGGGAAAGGGAGGCTATTGCAAATATGTGTGGCCTGCTGTGTCAGCCAGTACCATAGTTGTTATTGTATGTGAGTGACCTTTGTAATTAAGGGTAAGACAAATAAAATATTTCCATTATTTAAAGTATATCCCTTGTATATGTATATCCTTTATGTTCCCCTCATATTTCCCACCATACCACTACTACTTAAATGAACTGAGGCAGGAGAATATGAAATACTGATATCAGTTGGCTACCTTTCCTTGTAGGCTTTGGATAGGAACTAAAATTTTTCTATACAGTTTTATGCCATTAGCATTGTTCAGACAATTGGTTAAAATCCCAAAGGAGCCTTTGTGCAGAATTCCATGGATTCAAATTTAGTGGATTTGTTGGATCTGATCTGTTTTGTTTCACGTGTAACTCCTCAAAACCTGTATGTGCTATTAACTTCCCATTTACTGGCAGTGGGAATTCAGATGCAAGTGATGTACATACCAGCACATTTATCTCTTACTAATGAGTGTTGTAGTTTGTTCTTTCTTTAATATTTGCTGTTATTTGATGTCTCCTCTGAATAACAAAGCTATGCTGAGAAAATTAGTCATAACACAAGAAGAGAATAATTTGCATACTGTTTGTAGCCATTATCGTTAGCTAGAAATGTTAATTGTGTTCTAAAAATGTTTTATTTTAGTATTCATTACTGTCAGAAATTAATTTCAAATAAACAAGAAGATACCCGAATCTAAATATAATCTATGTATTGGTGTGGAAGAGATAAAATGTATTACTTGATATAATGGCAGATTAATTTGGAAGTTTATTGTGAGCTTATTCTAAATGGACCATGCACCAAATTGACTTTTTGCTCTGAATTGTGGGTTTTTCTGTCTGTTCATATGGAAACATATAAGGTAGGATTGGAGAAATATCACTGTCCTCCTTTTAATTCAGGGCATAAGACACCCACTAGAAACTTGATAGAAGGAATACAAGAAGTGCCATGTTCTACCTCCACCTTTTTTAGGTACTTTGCATGTGGAAAGGTGATGTTTCCAACTGAATAAAGCCCTCATGTTGAATAGTCTGTGTGTCCAAGGCTGGAATACCTAAAGTCTGAAATTCCTCATTTGAACAGGGAAAATGCGGTGTTAGGCTGATACTGCTGAGTCCTACCCCAGGATAATTTAGTACCTGTGACATGCTGGAGGACGACCTGAGAAGAAACTGGGGAAAAGTGCCACACTTTGTGGTACTACAGAGCTTGTTGAATAGTAGTAACACAGACGGGTGAGAGTGTTACACAAGTGTGGTGGGCCCTTCTGCAATAGTGACCACCTGCCACTGCATCCTCCCCAGAGCATCAGACACCACAGTGACCTCAGAGCTTTGCTCGATTTCAAAATGGGAGGAGCATAAACATGAAGAGGCTTGACTAAAGACGAAGTAAATAGGAGATGACTCTGCAGGTGATACATGTTATACTGGAGCTATGGCATCCTTACCTGTTACAAAGATGAATAAACGTTGGTGTAATTAAACATCAGGGAAGGGAAGCTGTTAAAAGGCATTCTTCAAAAAGCTGCAGTTGTGTGCATGTCAGGAAGGCAGAAAAAAGAATATAAACTTCGGGACATTGAAGGCTAAAAACGTGAGCTGGCCCTGGATTTTGGGTACTTTGAGCAGGCACAAAAAATGTCCAGACAAAAGGCTCTGTGATATAAGGCTGATAGAAGGAAGCTAAAAAAGGCTGTTCAGAAAATACAAGGATAGGACAAGAAACCTGAATTAATGTTTTGAACTGGAAAAGTCTGGGCAGGTCCCACACTGGAACCTTCTTTATAGGGGATGTATTGCAGATAAATTAGTAATACTAATTACTGGAATAAAATTAGTGCTAATTTTGTGTCAGGTTGCCAAAATAGCTGAACATCTGTTCAAGACTGAAACAATAACTCAAAATATAGGCTTCATATGATAGTTCAGCTTATTTTTAGATAGCCTCAGTAACAGAAAGACTGAGAGGGTTACTGTGTCTTTAAGAAAAGGGTAGTTTTTAGGGGTAAAATTTGGGACATATATGCTAAGAATTAGTAATTTGTACCTGACAAACTAGCAGAAACTGTAGTAGAAAAATGAGAATCTGGGGAAGAGCTGGAATGGTCTTTGCAGAGGAAAACTGTGACTCAGGCATCTGTCAGAGTTCTTCAGAGATTCAAGAGGCACTTGGACTTTCTAAAGATATGGTGGAAGGGCCCATGTGGAGGGCTGTTAAGGAAATTAAGCTGCCATGGGTGAAAAGTGTAGGTCTTGATAGCTGAAGAGCTACAAGATCGTCTCAGGTTTTAAGTTCTGAAGAAAGCCAGCTTGTTTGGCAGATAGATTCATATCAGTCTGATTTCATGTTTGATAAATCTTTAATTACTGAAAATAAATTGCTTACTTTGTTTAACAACCTGGTCTTTGTTCAAAAAGCAGCTATGTAAATCTGAAGAGAGGATATAATATACTTAGAAAAATGATTTGGAATTCTTAATTTTAATGGTGCCATGCAACTAGCTCTTTTTGACATACTGTAGGCTATCAAACCAACTGCTGTCAGCTCTTGCTTTCTTCCTCTCTCAGTTATTTGTCTTGGCTGTAAACTCTTTGGTAGAAAAAGCTCATCTTTCATTGCTTGGCTTAGTAAGTCCTTGATTTTGTGTGGCTGCCAGATGTGGGAGTGTCATAAATACAATGCAGAAGTGGAAACAGCCTCCCTTCTTCCACAATCCATTAAAGCTAATTGTTTTCAATTCACTCCATCTTTTTTTCCTAGCGTTATGCTGAAGAATTTGTAGAATCACTCACTTCTGCAATAGTGGCCCTTTGGAAAAAATAAACTAGTGAGAAGCACTTAGTTTTGAGCAAATCTGAGACCTTAAGGTCCTTTCCAACCCTAACTATTCCATGATTCTATGATTCTATCTGCATTCTGGGATTGAAATCCAAAGTAGAGGTGATAAATGTTCTTTTATGGTGAGCACAGTGCAGAGTTTTGCCGAAAGGATTCCTAATTCAACAACTTTAAAAGCGTCTTTAAAAATTTTCAAGGGACCTCCTAAGTTACATGTGAACTTCCCCCTGCTCCCTAAACCTATATGGGAGTTGGTGCTGCCTCCTGTAAAACAAGCCAAACTCTTCTCTTGACATCAGTCATGTTGCCACCTGGACATCATGTTGCAGGAGTTGATTGTAACTCATTTCCTTTTCATTTCTGCCAATTCACCAACTTCAAGACATTTTTGCCTCTACCTGCTACTGGAGCCTGCCTTGCCTGCCATCCTTGCCCTCTTTAATCCCAAGTTACTGGCATTACATATCCATGATAAAGCAGTAAAACTCCTTGCTTTTAGCATGACTATTCGTGATCTTTGACTAACAATAGGTAGCTTTTAAGAATTTTTGCATGTTCTTCCTCTTTTAAAGTCATGGCAAATGCTAGGCAGTACAGTTTTCCTTGGCTTGTCCAAAAGTCTGTTGCACTAGGATGTGATATGTCACCTGGCTGAGGTTAAGAGTGTGTAGGTGAGCAGTGAGGGGAGCTCAGCTGATATGCAGTATCTTGCCCCGCATGAGTGGCGTGACTTTGTGGAGTCACCCTTTGAAGAGATTCAGAAACCTCCAGCCATGGTCCTGGGCATGCAGGTCTAGGGGCTCTGCTTCAGCAGAAAGGTTAGAGAAGATGACCTCTAGAGGTCTTTCCATCCTCAATCATTCTGTAGTTCTGTGTCTGAGTCCTCAGGCCCAGCTCTGGCTGAAATGCTTATATATATGTACACAGGAAAGCTAAAACAGTCATTAGTGTTGAACCAATAACCTAAATGCATCATCCTTGCATCATACGAGTTTCTCTTTTATAAGCTTCTTCTACGTTCATATCTACCTGTGTTTTTACCCCCCACTTCTTTATGACCTCCATGTACTTAAACTTATGTTATGCTTTTACTGGTTCAGTCAGTCTGTATTGTAATTGTATCTAAAAGTGAGGCCCCATTGTTCGGAGGAGATAAATAGAAGAGTGAGGGTGATTCCTACAATCAAGCTACTGAATGTTTTTCTGTGTTTTTTTTTGTTTTTTAACTGTTTAATTTTTTTATTCTGTTTCTCTCAGTTATGTTCTTAAAATGCAATTTTTTTACATGTATCCTTATGTACTTTTTTTCAGTTTATCAAGAAGTTTTACAATGAAACTTGGGAAAGAAGATATGGCTTCTCGGTGGATGAAAGCACACTCACTCTCCTCTGGTCCATAACTGTTTCTATTTTTGCCATTGGTGGCCTTGTGGGTGCCATTATTGTTACCCCAATTGTGAAGTTCTTCGGACGGTAAGTGCATTGTGTTTTCTAAACCAGTTTCTCTTTTAGTCTCTCTGGAAGGCTTTACTTTTCTTTATAAAAACCCTCTTGTCATGATTTAAACCCAGCCAGACAGCTTGTTCACTCACTTTGCCCCCTTCTTGACCTCCCCCTACTTCCGGAGGGCTGGAGTGGAGACTGGAAAAGAATGCAACTCTCCCGGGTTGAGATAAGAACAGTTTAGTAACTAAGGTATAACACAAATCACTACTGCTACCACCAATAATAATAATGATAAAGGAAATAACAAGGGAAGAGAATACAACACCTCGCCACCAGCTGACCAATAACTCGCCCCCCCAGCCCGACCAAGCATTGACCGATACCTCCTCCACCCCCATAGTCTACCAGTCCTTCCAGGTAACTCTCAGTTACATCCTGGGCACGACATGCTGTGGTATGGAATACCTCTTTGGTCAGTTTGGGTCAGGTGTCCTGTCTCTGCTTCCTCCCACCGTCCCGGCAGGATGCAAATATAAACATCTTCAAATTATGAAAGCTCTTTGCTAAAGAGTTCCAAATTTCCAAGAATAAAATTAGTACCTTTCTCTGTGGCCTTGCTGTGCATCATTTGAGAAGCCGTTTGCTCTGAACAGGCAGTGGGTTGAGATGTAAAGGAGGTTGCATTGTCAACAGCGCAAAAGGAGAATACCATAAAATAGGAAAAATTTCACACAGGATCAGCAGATTCTAGTTTCACAAGTCTGCTGAGAATCTTATTGTACACAAATAAAGCTATCAACACATTTCATTGCTTCTTAGCAACATCTGAAGAACTAAACTAGGATAAAGTTTGTGTTTGGTCTCCCCAGAGCCTGGGGATGCCTTCCCTGTTCTATGCAATGCACTATTTGACCAAGTCTTGACCATAGGGAACATGAGCATTTTAGCAATTTTTCTTCCAGTGTGTGTTTGCGTTTTTGCTGCAGGTACTGACAAGATATTTCTGACATTTCTTTTTTGTTGTTTTTGTTTCATACAGTCTTCCAAAGAGAATTTAAAAGTTGTGTTTTGGGTGGTTTTAGTTTGTTGGGGGTTTGTTTGTTTGTTTGTTTTCAAAAGCTATTATAACATCCAGTTTAACTGCTCATCTGGCTCTTCCTTAATTGTAAATTCTGTATAATTTGATAATTTTTGCTCAGTTGAATCATAGAATCATAGACTAGTTAGGGTTGGAAAGGACCCTAAGATCATCTAGCTCCAAACACCCTGCCATGGGCAGGGACACCTCCCACTAAACCGTGTCAGCCAATCACTGGAGAAAGGTCATCATGGAGGCTTAAATATAAGTATCGACCTCCACTATTCTTATTTTTCTGTTCTACATTTTGACTATTTCCATCACTTTCAATTGTACTTTACTAGGCTTGTTTGGCATTGTCCCAACTATTCCATATCCCATTTTTCACCTCAGAGAGTATATTTTCAGGTTCTTCCATTTCATGCTTACAGTAAGTCAGTATTCTCTGCTCTGTAAATCTATTACCCACTCTTCATTTATACCCCTTCACCTCATAATTTGATTTTCTAGTCTTAAATATTTTTCATAGTGACATTATTATCTTTAGCGTTGCAATTTCTTCTCCGAAATCATCAATTTGCCGTTTACACACTTCTTAACTATATGAAACTATGCCTGACTCAGACTGATTAATTCCCGGAATTGTCACTGAGTCTTTATTAAAAAATGAAGTAAAAAATTGTTTCATAGAAGGCTTGAATTTTTGGTGAAAAGTAGAATAGCTTTGTGAGCCAGTTTGTTAAAGTAAGTGTTGGCTGATCTCAGTCATATATATATACCACTTTGATTGGAGCAGGTCATATTTCTAGGGCAGAGCTTTAAATCTTACAGACTCTGCCTTTGTTTATTATGTTTATCTCTGTTAAACCATGAAAACACCTCTCTTACGGATGTGCTGTACGAGTACTTGATCAAACACGGGAACAGCAATCCCAGGCACAGCTACAGGTTGGGCAGAGAAGAGATTCAGAGCAGCCCTGTGCAGAAGGACTTGAGGGTGCTGGTTAATGAGAAACTGAACATGAGCCGGCTTCAGTGTGCTCTTGCAGCCCAGAAAGCCAACCGTATCCTGGGCTGCATCAAAAGGAGCATGACCAGCAGGTCAAAGGAGGTGATCCTGCCCCTCTACTCTGCTCTTGTACCTCTGCACCTGCAGAATTGTGTGCAGTTCTGGTGTCCTCAGCATAAAAAAGACAAGGAACTGTTGGAACAAGTCCAGAGGAGGGCCACAAGGATGATCAGGGGCTGGAGCACCTCCTGTATGAAGATAGGCTGAGAAAGCTGGGGCTGTTCAGCCTGGAGAAGAGAAGGCTGCGTGGAGACCTCATAGCAGCCTTCCAGTATCTGAAGGGGGCCTGTAAGGATGCTGGAGAGGGACTCTTCATTAGGGACTGTAGCGACAGAACAAGGGGTAACGGGTTCAAACTTAAACAGGGGAAGTTTAGATTGGATATAAGGAGGAAATTCTTTGCTGTTAGGGTGGTGAGGCACTGGAATGGGTTGCCCAGGGAGGTTGTGAATGCTCCATCCCTGGCGGTATTCAAGGCCAGGTTGGACAGAGCCTTGGGTTAGTGTGAGGTGTCCCTGCCCATGGCAGGGGGGTTGGAACTAGATGATCTTAAGGTCCCTTCCAACCCTAACCATTCTATGAATCTATGATTCTATGATTTCTGATAAAACTTTAATTCTGTCATTTTCCTATTTGTGAGTTTTAGACAAAAAGTTTATTAATTCAGATACATAATTAAAGTTCTTGTAGCCGTGGAAGGCACATAGTCACTAGGATTCTGTTCTGGCTTCCGGAACTATCTAATATGGTGAGAGCAAATGACAATCTTGAAAATCTTTAAAACTTAGCTCTATTTGTGTCTAGCTGACGGATGAGCTGCGTGTTTCAGCTGGGATGCTTATAGAAACTGATTTCTACTGGGCACGTGGCTCTTAGGACTAGTTCAGGTTCAACTTGGGGGATTTGCCTTAGTTTACTGCCAGTGAGCATAAATACTTAATTACTGATCTGGTACTGGGAAACAAGACACTGTTCCTTCCACTTTCGCAGGCTGAACATCACTCCAGCCTCCTCTCCTCCCTCTTGGTACCACGGCAGGTCATACTCAGTCTCTTCCGTGAGAGAACGGCCAGTGACAGGGGTGGGGGTCAGTGCGTAGCAACTTCTCTTTGCCAGTCCTTGCTTTTCATTTTCCTCCTATGCTCCAACATGGGTCCTCCATGGGCCACAGTCCCTCTGGGGATGTACATGCTCCATCCTGGAGCACCTTCTCCCCCACTGACCTTGTTACTCACTTGTTCCATCTCCTCACAGAAGCCATCCCTGCATCCCTTCACTTCCAAAACCTTGCCACAGATACCCAGTACAATGTTTTAATTACCAAAAATTTTCATGCATTGTATAATAACACCCTAAACAGTGTGTTACTTTGTTCTTGTCATTTTTATTCAGTCTGGCAAGTACAAAATACTTTGGTTAAATCTTGGTTAGTTAGGCTGTGCTTTTCTCTTCTTTGGTGTATAGCATAAGGGGTCACTAGCCATTTTTTCTAAAAAGATATGTATTTTGTGGTTTTTATTTAAATTAGAGGAAAGTATATCTTCAGATGAATGTATAGCAATTTTTTGTGCTATATGAATGAATATTTTGTTTCTGTTTTTGGCATTATTTGTATCACTTCAACCCTCTCAAATTATCCATTTGAAAAATCTGTTTAAAATGGTAAAATCATCATTCTTGACGTCTGTGTTTTATAGATATATACCTTAAACGAGATGTATCTTATTTTTTGATTCTCAAACTGTGTTACTCATTCAGTGTTCAAAAATCACTAGAAAACAGGAAAATTAATTAGAAATAAAAGTATTAAAAATATCTCCTATAAAAAAATGTATTAATCTGCTGTATGAAGTTGGGTGACTTGTTCAGTGGTGGGATATTTCCAGTTGGTACCTATGTGTTGAACTGGACAAGAATGAGGACTGATGGGTTGGTTTGTTGTCTGTATTGGTAAAGAAAAGGGTAGACAGCCTTTCTGGTCACTCCTTTTGCATGGAAATTACAACATATAGAGATTGAAAATCCATTGAGAATGCTTAAGAATTTTATACCACTTCAGTTTTTTAATCAAATTGGTTTGCTGTGCCTGTGTAGTTTACTATCAAAGTTAATGGATTCTTCATAATTTACATCATCAATGATGTTTATCTCGAGGTAAATTGTTTTTTAAATCAGTTATTTCTTTCATACGTTGTTGTGAGCGAGACTGGAAGCTTCAGTACCTAGTTGTACCTCTAGAGCCAAAATAAGACCGTGCTTAATTATGTGACTGCAAAACCTAATGAAAATGGAGCTCCACTGCTTTACCGTGTATAGACAAGTGAGGTGACTCACAGATGGAAAACATAGGGTATAATCATTCTCTTGCCACATAATTGGGAAAATCATGGTGTTTTGTCCCGTGTTAGATCAATGCAAAGCAGCAATCTCATCATAATGTCCTGTACAGAAGCCACCATATCTCCAGCAGATATCCCTGGGTCTGCCTGCGAATCATAAGAATCTTTACAGTTGCTCACAAGGCTGAACCTGGTGATAATGGCTTCTCCAGACACTCACCTACAGGCTGAACTTTAGCAAAAAAGCCACTTCAATCCATATTGCTGGAGATGTGTACACAGCAGCAGTGATTCTCTGAGTTCTTCGTGGGTTTTTTGCTTAAAATTTTCAATAGAGAATCATTGAAGCAGAGCTGTTTATTTTACATCTTTAACCACTGCTCCTCCACGTGTTCATGAAGTGAGAACTTGGATGCTGATGTTTGAATCTGACTGTCAAAGGCCCATGATATCCTACGTATCATTTGTTTCATGAATTATTTCCTCTGCAGAAGTTGAGACTTATGAGTCACTTTTGAATTAATGAGTCCCTCAAACTTGAGCAGAAAGTTCTGAGAGATGAAAACTATAGTGCAAACGAGAAATTGAGATGGTTTTGAAAAATTTTCAAAGACATTTTTGTGCTAGTTTTTTTTACAAAATAATAATTTTCAATAAAGAATATTTTATTTAAAAGAAATATCTTTTCAGGTTTTGAAATACCTTAAATATACCTTAAAAATTGGGGAAAAATTATATATCTATATTTTGATTAATTACAACAATTTTTGGAAAAGGGTTGATTTCTGCGACTCATGTGAGCCTGAGTGTTTTTTTCTACCTGTACAAGTAGTAAGTAATTTTCCTCAATGTCTATTTTCAATATCATGGATTTAAGGATGGATTAAATAACATACATATGTCAGTGTTGGAAAGTTCTCAAAATGGCAAAAAATTTATGTAGCATAAAAACTTCTGTGATTGTATTGTCTTATTGCCACTTACAATATATTCTCTGGTTCCTACATACATACATTTATCCAGAGTACACTTGCTTGTCATCATATATGGAGACTCAAGCATGACACATGAGTTCTTAAGATGTATAGGATAGGTAATTGCTGAGCCTTTGGTGTACATATCTACATAAAAATATCTATTTCTTTTAGGAAATGTACGTTGCTGTTCAATAATGTGTTTGCAGTGACAGCTGCATTGTTGATGTCCCTCTCCTTGCTGGCGGGGTCATTTGAAATGCTCATACTGGGACGTGTTATAATGGGTGTTGATGCAGGTAAGCTTTTATCACTCTAAACATGTCTGAAATGTTTGCACCATGCATAGTCTTTCTCCTCTCCCCCAGTTAGATGTTTCTTTACATGAAAGAGGCATTCCATGGACTAGCCACACTGATTTCAGTGAGACAAAACAGCAGACAAGGGTTGGGGGATCTGGTGTTTGAACAATGGATTCTAACTGCTTCTGTCCACCCTTTTCCTCCTCCAGCTGTGGTAGAGCATATTTGTCTTCATGCCATGAAAGTCCTTTGGCTAGGAGTGTGTACTCAATTTTTTAATGCTGCTTGTTGCTTTGTGTTTAGAAGTCATTGGATCCCATGCTAATATCAGGAGGATTAAGTGGAAGGTTTGTTACATCATTTGCACCTAGCAATGTGGTCTTCCTGTGCATGCACTGCTGCATTAGAATAGTCTTGCAGCTAGCAGTGAGGGTCTCAGCAACTTCACAGATTGCTAGATGGTGAGAAATATTTACCTAATGTGGCCACAACCTTGATGAATTGAAATTGTTTTATGCTCTCAGTGTAATCACGTGATTCTAAACAATACAACGTACTTTGGGTTCTGCATCACCAAGCCCCCTTTCCGGCAAGCTTTGGCTGTGTTGTTAGTAAACTAGAACTATGGTAGTTTGAAAGTGGATGTATATGTCACTTGTAATGTGAAGTTCATGGATAATTTTGGTGCTGAATGATAATTTTTTTCTCATATTACCACCAAAGGACCACACTGGAGCTATGTAAATATTATCGGTGTAGTAACAAGGGTCATGCACTTGTTGTCTCCAGACTTTGAGCACCATTCTCATGCTTATTTTATACCTGCTATTAAGAATTCATTACAGTTGCAAGCTTGTATTGAGAGGAACATCTGCTAATACCATTTTCAGCTAAAACACTTCATCTGACAGTGTCTGCTCTCTCTGCCTGATGCATTGTTTTTATTTTCCTTACCTACACCAGTGTTAGAGTGCTTTTGCTTGCTTTGGGATGAGCAAATTTAAAATGTAAAATCCATTCTCCAGGTTGTTCTCATCTCCAAGTAAACTTTGGTGCTTCTCATCAAATAGCAGCCTACGCACAACATTGCAGATCTGTAATAGATAATCAATTCCATGGTTATTAAATAGTGCAAGAGCAATTAGACATGCAGAGAAGAAAATTCATAGTCTGTGGATAGATATAATTCTGTTCTTTGAGTATTTTTATGCCATTTTTGTGAGCAGATTAACGCTTGAACTCCTTTCAGCAGCTGTTTTTTTCATAGCTGGCATAATGAAAAGGTGATTTGACTTAATAATACATGTGGTTTTTTTTCCTTCATAGGCATTTCTCTGAGTGCCCTTCCCATGTATTTGAGCGAAATATCTCCTAAGGAAATCCGTGGCTCATTGGGTCAGGTCACAGCAATTTTCATCTGTATTGGTGTTTTCACTGGTCAAGTTTTGGGGCTGCCAGAAATATTTGGGCAAGTACGTATTTAACAGATGTTTTCTATGAAAGGACACAAGTATGCTTAAAGTGTTATATTGTCATATTTTGGATGAGTTCCTCACAAAAGTGGAAAACAGAAATACTGGGGTTTTGTTCTGAAGCACTTTCAAAAGTGGTATCTTCTGTATCATTTAAAAGCCTGTATGCATGACTGAGTTTGGTAGATGGGGCAATTAGTTTTAACAGCCTGAGCAGCTTGCGTGTGCATATGCAGGTTCACTCCACTAATCCCACTTTCTTGATGTACATTTATTTTTGCTGCTTTCCAGTTTCTTTGAGTGTCATGGAAGTGCCTAAGTGTTTTTGCAGTTTCCATTTGTAAGTTTTCAATGTGAGATAGAACTGAAAAAGGCTTGGTTAGAGTTTATATAAGGACCTGAATAGGAAGACACTTGCTCAATGATCATGGTGCTCCTTGTTATGCGCTTCTACTTTTAGACTAGAAGGTGGAAGAACAGAGTTATATATACCTTTACAGAAAGAGAGATTAACTTGGTGGCCACTGGATGTCATCATTACCCTAAATAAATGAAGTCGAGGCTTATTCAGGATGGCGCTTGGAAATTCTTTTCATCTAAAGATGAATCATCAAGGCGGTGTGGAGGAAATGTCTGCACCAATCCTCTCACAATGAAACCCAAACTAAGAATCCCTTCCGACAGCCACCAAAAGTAGTAAACAGTTGAAGAGTGAGGAAAGCTTGTCCTCCCGTGTCCATTCAAACTCAGCTCCTTTGTAAATACATGATACCATCCTCCCTGACACTTATTTTTGTCTGACCAGCTTGTATTCTGTCCCTTTACCCTTGGACTCACTTACCATGTTCAGGTCTCCTAAAGGTAAATTATCTGATTCCATTTGCTCTTTATTGAAGGACTCCCCTCCTCAAACCAAAAGATTTTAGGAAAAAGCTTAAAGTTGCTTTCAGTGACCTTCATTTTGTGGCTTCTATGGATGCCCCCTTCTCTTACTTGGAAACCTAGTGCGTTACAAACAAGGCTGTTAAATGTCAAGAGGCTAGTTTGATGCCTTAGAATATATCAGTCCTTATATAGCTGGTTTTGGGGGGTTTTGTTGGTTTTTTTTTAAACATATATGCACTTTCAAAGGTAAGGGGTCATGCAAATTCTTATTTTCCTGTAGGTCTTTGGGGTATTTTGAATGGGAAATACTTATTCCTTGGCTTCAGCTCATTCTTGCTCATTTTATTTCTCTTCTCCCCTTCCCTCCCTCCTAATCATCGTCGCTACCAAACTATGGAGGTTGCTATTCTGCTTCTACAACCTGCTTTAGTATGCAGTTAAATAATATTACATCATTAAAGATAGCCATTAATTTACAGAAGAAGAAATACACTTCATCTGTAGAATTAGTTCTTTTCAGGGTGGGTTACATCATCATGTCAAAGGAGAAAAGTTTTCTCTGGTATGAATTAGCATATTTCCAGCAAATTTATTGGAGCCAGCTTGAATTTTCCAGCTGGGTATGCGGGTGTATTTTTCATTTAGCATATTAATAAAATTTAGCACTGAGGGCTGTTTGAAATGTTAATACCTTATGCAGTCTTGTCCCTCTTTGAAGGCTGTATTGAAATTTGTGTTGGTTTCGGTAAGCCAGGATTCTCTTCCCTAGCTTTATGTGGTTCTCATTGAAGTCAGTGGAAGGTTTGCACCAGGGACAGCAGCCACTGCCAGGGGACATTCCAGCAGAGGGTAGTGTGGTAATTTCACTGCTGTTGAAGCTTGGAGGTGGCAAACGTGGTGTCCTTCTGCTGAGTTCTTTGGTTCTTCCAAAACTTTCCCCTCTCCCCTCCCCAGCAAATACGCTGCTTAAATCTCTGTCACTTTGTTCAATCAAGTTCAAAAATAGACATTTGCAGGCTATTTTCTACTTGTAGGTTTCTCTCTGATCTCACAGTTTCTGTTCACTAATGTTCTAAAAGCTTCTTATAATTCCCATATTATTTTTTCTTCCTTCTGTTGGAGAAATCTTTGTTGCATTTGAAGTGAGGCAGGTATTGCAGATCCACAGCCACAGTATTTTGGAGACAGCTATGCATGTGTTACTGATACTGATTTAAGCTGTAACTGGAAAGCAAACTCTTGCTTTCCTCAGAAGCCTGAAGTCATTTGCATTATACTTAAGCCATTCTTTAATAAGCCAACATGTGGTATAATTCTACCTTTGTAAAAATCATAAATCATTTAAGGCAAATAGGGAAGTTGTGATCAGTAGGAGCTTGTTGCCAGTGTCCACCATTCTGCTCAATTGCTTGCACTAGGATGTGGAAGACACCTTTTTAAGTATGTCTAACAATGTTCAGCCTTTTAACAATCATGGCATAAAACCTCACACAGTATTTTTTTTGTTGCTCTGTGGTTGATTGTTTGGTTGTCTCTGTGAGAATTTGTTGTAAAGAATATTAGTTACAGATACTTGCCTTCTCACATGGTTTCATAACAATTTTTTCCTGACCTTTGTCGTGTGTCTATTACTTGTAACTTGAGCAAATATCTAGGAGGTTATTAACCATACTATCTAAGCAGTGATGGTTTTAAAGAAAGGAGAGGCAAAGGCAAAGTTGGGTGTCTTGCTGAAAGAGGCTCTCTGGAACAGGAATAAACATAGGGAGAGCTGCAAGAATGGCTGAGGTCCTGTTTTCTAAGAGGAGGTGACAGCAACATTGCTTGTGTGGCCAAGTAAATAGAGGGAAGGGAGAGGGACTGACTGCACCATCTAAATACAAGAAATAAGAATTACACAAGGAGCAGAGAGGCTTAATCTCAAGGACACTATTGCTACCAGGATAACTTTATCAATGTTCTGTGAGTAGTTGCATGCTGAAATTCAGCAACGTGATGTTTGGAACAGACTCCCAGCTGAAGCAGCTTGAGCAGAAAATTCAACTTTTAAATTGAAACTTGATGCATTTATCTGGATTATATGAGGTTGCTGCATTCAGGGGTTCTGCAGAAGTCTCTCCACAGAAAAGGAAGGTGTTTACATTGGCTGTGGGGCATAGGCTTACAAGCATTTATTAACAAGCTAATTAATAACTTGCTCTGGTATGGAATGCAGCAGTGTTCCTTTAAACGTTCAAGCGTGATAAAAATAGCACTGAGTGTTACTTAAGGCAATTCAGAAAGTCCTTACTGCTTTTTGTGTCAAGTAGTTTAAGCATCCCCAAAATGGTTTTTTAGCAATCTTTTATTCATGAAGTCTAGCCCAGGTGAAGCAGGAGGAGTGTGAGCAACCCTAGGTTCTGTGCTGGGGTAGCAAGGCTCAGCTTTGGCTGTGTTTACAGTCTTAAAGCTGTTTGGCTGTCTCCTGTTCCTTCAGCCTCCCCAAGCTTTCTGTTGGAAGTGCTGAGGGTTGACAGTCTTCTCATTTCATTTTAGTACCATCTTCATGCCTGTTTTGCCAACTTACTCTCATTATTCTTTTGGTCCACTGTTAGTTATTCCTTAATATCTTGGTTTTTTTTTCCCCCACATACTGCAGGGTATTTCCTTTCTCCTCCCCCCATCACTTGTGATGTTTGTGTTTAAGGTTAGACTTCATCTTCTGTGACAAAACAGACTCTTTAACATCTTGTCCTATATGCCTTTCTCTGTAATAATTCTGGGTTTAAAATTGAAACCATAAGAACAAAGTTATATAGATAACCCAGATGAAATTATGCTTAAAAAAAAAAAATTATTTAGGAAATATTTCCTGTTTTTTCTAAAAATTTTTTGGCTGTATTTAATGTGCTGTGGTTTTTTTTTCCTGTGTTTATATGGCATATTGACACGAACATGGAGACTACTACAATTTCAGAATTACAGATGAATTATGACATATAAAAGAGCAGATAAAAGAATCTAATAATGACTGTAAAATCGAAATGAAGGCATTCTTTTGGATTCTGAATATATAGTATTTTATTCTGTTTGTCTCCAAAGGTACTAATTTTAGAGTATTGAGTCTGAAGAAGGTGTTCCATTATCATGCAATGCTTACTAAGAGTGATTATCTGAAGGCAAAAAGCTGCAGTCATGACAATGGTCCTCTGGTGCTGTGGTTTGATACTGTCACTTTCTTTCCTCTGTCTTAATTTCCTCTCAACCAACAAATCCTAGCAACGCTTTGTTTTCAAGATTCTGATTCTTGTAGGTCATGGCCTATGTGAAACCACATCTACTGTGACTCCACTGAGGTTTGGGAAATTACACAGTGGTAAAGCTGGCTGGTGATCACACTATAGAGCATGACTTTGAGAGCTGGTGACCTGCTTCTCTCCAGCACCCTGACTGCTGAGAGTACTGTGCTCATTGGCATGTACTACCCGCTTGGTTTAGTCTGCTGTAAGACAGAGCCCATAATTATTCTGGAAGCCATGGCAACTGTAGATGACAATTTGCTGCTGGCCCCCAGGTGTGCAGTGGTGTTATCTGCTGTAATGTGGGTACTGAATTATTGCTACTGGCTACGAGATGATTTCATTTGGGGCATTTTTGGTTGTATAACATGTGCAGCTTTCCATACATCTGGCTGAAAGAAAAAACTGATATTAAGATAAGGAGGAACGGTTTGAAACTCACCACTTCTACACGCATTGTCCTTTAGGTGTTTCTATTCTCTCGGTTTCTGTGATTCTGCAATTTAATCACCCATTGCATTTTTCTGGCAGATTGCTCCCTGTGAAGCATTGTCAGCTTCAGTTTTGAAAGTTCAAAGTTACAGTTAGTGTCTTGGGGAATATTGTCTGGCCTCATTCTGGCATATTCCATGTATCCTTAGGTATCTCTTTGTAACTAACTCATCTATTTCCTCCTTTACCTAATGTTACACTCCAAAGATATTTTTTACATGTTGTAGACCACCAGGCTACCTGTTTTAATGCTTCAGCTTATTTAGTGCAGGCGGGGTTTAACCTTTCTTTAAATACAGAGGATTTAGTTTATGGGTACATGTGCTGTAGTTACTGTGTTCATAT